TGGAGTGAGTGTGTGTGTTTTGGTGTGTGTGTGTCCCTACCTCTTGACCAGTGAGTGTGTTCTCTAAGGTGGCAGTGCAGTGAAGCTGCAGCGTGGACAGAGTGGGCAGGCCATCAGACAGTGTGAGGGTGGACAGACGAAGAGGACCCAGGCAGATACGTCCAGTTTGCTTGAGACAGCGCACCAACGTGCTGCAACACACAAAGAAAAACACAAATGAATGTTTTGGAGGATGCTGCAGTCACCGTTTACTGCGACCCAACCCTGACAGTCCACTCACTCTGGACTGGCTGTGCTCCTCTGCTCCTGTTGTTGACTGGCCTTGTCCATTGCACTGACGGCAGTTCGAAGGAGCTGCACCTCGATGGCTCTGTGGAGCTCGGTTGGATCAGGACTCAGGGAGGGCAGCAGTCGCTTCAGATCTACCACAAGTACACAAACATAGACATAAACACAAGTGGTTTTGCGTCCGGAGCTGTGAAAACAAGGTGAGGGTCTGCACTACAGAAACAAAACTATCTTGTTTAATTAAACCACATTCACAGCAGCTGGAGTTTCAGGACTGTGGTCTGTTACCCAGTTTGTCTTTGTTGGTCAGAGAGCTGTAGTCCTCTCCGGGCAGAAGCTCCAGCTGAGCGCCACACTCGGCCATGTCGCCCTCCTCGAAGCAACTCAGCGCCTGGATGAAGTTGAAGTCCGTCCTCAGGTTGATGTTGACTGGACTGCTGGAATTCTGCTTCAAGCCGTGGACGGTGGCCTGCCACTCCTTCACTGAGGCCCAATCAGAGAGCGCCACGTAGCACTGACACACCTTGTTGGCCAGGAAGTTGATGACCTCAGGGGAACACTCGCTGGACTTGAGCAGCACGGTCTTCCTGCTGTCACCTGATCAAACAGAGGATGGTCCAGAAACGTCATCGCTCCGACACATAGACTTGTTATCTACACTCTGTCATTGGAGCTCGAGGCTTCAACCTCAGGACAGTGGCTCAGTAATGTTCTATTTACCATTATTGCGGTGTTTGGGGCTGCTGGTGTTGTTGGAAAGTTTGAGCAGGCAGCTGTCGGAGTTTTTCAAGCTGCAGTCCATGCCTGTGGCTGCGGAGAGCTGATCCTGATACTCAAGTGCGGCCTTCTCAAACCTACACACACAAACAGACAGAGGCTCAGGAACAGGAAGTGAAGCTTTAAAAAACAAACAAACAAAACCAAAGCCTTGTGAAGCTTTAAAAACAAAAACAAACAAACAAAACCAAAGCCTTCGTCTTACCGTCCTTCAGCCTGCAGAGCCACTGACGACAGCCAGCCCAGACTCTTGCCGGTGGTGGAGAAGCTCCAGGCGGTGAGACCCTGGATGGCCTCAGGACAGTGGAGCTCACACAGAGCCTCTGCTAACAGCATCAGAGGAACCTCCACCTCTGGGCCCTGACAACAAAGGAACATTTATCCACATGGAGCAGGCATATCAGGGTTCACGCTCTTCAAATTAAAAAGCCAAAGAGACATAAACAGACGACAAAGGTAGTTTGTGATTGGACACAACAGTTCACTGGTTGAACGTTGGCGTGCACCGACCTGTGTGTTACTGTTTTTGATCTCCGTGAGCAGATCGAAACCGTGACGAATGGTGACCGCGGGCTGACCCGAGAGAAGACCGACCCGCATCAGAGCCAGGCGGATCCTGGTCAGCCAGTCTTGGCACGTCTGTCTGTTGGTGTAGAAGAAGGTCCTGATGCCCTGAGAACAAAGACAGAAGGGTTGACAATCACTCACACCAAGCCCGTCCTCTTGGTGTTTGGTCAAAGTTTTGATGAACGCACCTTCGGCGGTGCGGTCAGGGCGTTGGCACAGCCCTCGTAGGCGTTGTACATGAGCTTCTCCAGGTTCTCCAAGAACTGCAGCAGCAGAACCAGGCGGAGCTGGTTGGAGTGGTGACCGTCCCCATCACTTCCAGCACCAGCCCAGGCTCCCAGCTCCTGTTCTGGGTTCAGACTGTGGGCAGCCAGACTACGAATCATACCTGAAACAGAGAGGCAGAACAAAGATGAGGGAAAGAAGAGCAGGTTTACAACTGGACAGATTCCATGACAACAAAAAGACAGAGTGTGTGTCCATATATAAATATATAGCATCATCACATGGAGCTAAAACCTTTTACCTTCAATGGTCTGAAATGTGTCCTGGGCGCGACCCAGTGGTGTTCGCAGTTTGGACAGGACGGTGAACTGTGCAGCCTCCCACACAGCCCACTGCCACAGCACCACCTCACTTTTCAACAACGCCCGTGGCACCACACTGGGCCGGCTGCCGTCACCTCCCCTGACGTCCCTCCTCTCCAGGCGCTGGCAGCTGTAGTAGAGACGCTCCATCCAGGGATCTTTCCTGCAGGAAAAAAAAAAAAGCACTGGTTTGCATGTGGACTCATACAAACAATCTGCATCTGATGCTCAGTTTAGTATTTAAAAAAAACAAACAAACATCAAAATGTATTTTTATAATTATCAGTCTTATTATGTGACTGCAGAGTCCAGAAATTCACCAAAATTTATAAAAATACAGGTATCTTAAATTGAGTTGCTCAAACTGCCCCCTGGTGGCAAGATTAGGGTAGTACAGTCTGAAGACTGTCAGTGACTGTGACACCTACCCTCCTCTGTGCAGAGCTCCATATAAAATGAAGCTGATGAGGTCACTGAAGTCTTGAGGGTGGAATGTGCTGCTCGGCGCTTGGCTCATGTGGTGACGAACAGCCAATGAAATCTCCCTCATTTCTGGGTGGGCGTGGTTACTGCAA